CTTCAGTACGATACTGTATTTCCGTGTGTCTTTACCTCGATACGATACCGTGTCAAAGCGTTGTTCATGGAATAAAGAGGGTACTTCAGTACGATACTGTCTTGCCCTGTCGATGTTGAGTGAAAAATTGAATGTTGCTGGCGTAAAGAGGTTAGTGAGAGAAAAATGACAACAATGGCGTGTCACATGTGTGATGCAAGGTCAGGTCTAGGTCGTCAGAGGCGGAAGTTGATTTAAGGCTCGCTCGCTTGACCAGTCTCAGGGTAACTCGGCTGGACGAGGGCAGTTAACTGTCTGCCGGGCACGGTGCGGGGGTGGCGCTCAATGACGTAAGGCGGGGGATTAATTTGATGCACACATCGGGGATAGGACAAGATGGAGGGCAGGGTAAACTTGTCAATTTGATGCACACACACACACACACACACCAGAGATAAGACAAGATGGAGGGCAGGGTAAACTTGTCAATTTGATGCACACACACACCAGAGATAAGACAAGATGGAGGGCAGGGTAAACTTGTCAATTTGATGCACACACACACCAGAGATAGGACAAGATGGAGGGCAGGGTAAACTTGTCAATTTGATGCACACACACACCAGAGATAGGACAAGATGGAGGGCAGGGTAAACTTGTCAATTTGATGCGCACACACACACACACCAGAGATAGGACAAGATGGAGGGCAGGGTAAACTTGTCAATTTGATGCACACACACACACACACACACCAGAGATAAGGCAAGATAGAGGGCAGGGTAAACTTGTCAATTTGATGCACACACACACACCAGAGATAAGACAAGATAGAGGGCAGGGTAAACTTGTCAATTTGATGCACACATCGGGGGTAGGACAAGATAGAGGGCAGGGTAAACTTGTCAGTTTGACGCATGCACACACACACACCAGATATAGGACAAGATGGAGGGCAGGGTAAACTTGTCAATTTGATGCACACACACACACACCAGAGATAGGACAAGATGGAGGGCAGGGTAAACTTGTCAATTTGATGCACACACACACACACACACCAGAGATAAGGCAAGATAGAGGGCAGGGTAAACTTGTCAATTTGATGCACACACACACCAGAGATAAGACAAGATAGAGGGCAGGGTAAACTTGTCAATTTGATGCACACACCAGAGATAGGACAAGATAGAGGGCAGGGTAAACTTGTCAATTTGACGCACACACCAGAGATAGGACAAGATAGAGGGCAGGGTAAACTTGTCAATTTGATGCACACACACACACACCAGAGATAAGACAAGATAGAGGGCAGGGTAAACTTGTCAATTTGATGCACACACACACCAGAGATAGGACAAGATGGAGTGCGGGGTAAACTTGTCAATTTGACGCACACACACACCAGAGATAGGACAAGATGGAGGGCAGGGTAAACTTGTCAGTTTGATGCACACACTCACACACACACACACCAGAGATAAGACAAGATAGAGGGCAGGGTAAACTTGTCAGTTTGATGCACACACTCACACACACACACACACCAGAGATAAGACAAGATAGAGGGCAGGGTAAACTTGTCAATTTGACGCACAAACACCAGAGATAAGACAAGATAGAGGGCAGGGTAAACTTGTCAATTTGATGCACACACACATCAGAGATAGGACAAGATGGGGGGGGGGGGGTAAACTTGTCAATTTGATGCACACACACACACACCAGAAATAAGACAAGATAGAGGGCAGGGTAAACTTGTCAATTTGACGCACACACACACACACCAGAGATAAGACAAGATGGAAGGCAGGGTAAACTTGTCAGTTTGACGCACGCACACACACACACACACACCAGAGATAGGACAAGATGGGGGGGGGGGGTAAATTTGTCAATTTGATGCACACACACACCAGAGATAGGACAAGATGGGGGGGGGGGGGTAAACTTGTCAATTTGATGCACACACACACACACACACCAGAAATAAGACACGATAGAGGGCATGGTAAACTTGTCAATTTGACACACACACACACACACCAGAGATAAGACAAGATGGAAGGCAGGGTAAACTTGTCAATTTGATGCACACATCAGAGCTAGAGCTAGATGTAGGGCAGGGTAAACTTGTCAATTTACACTTTTTATTATAGCACACTTCCATTAACTTGTTATAACAACACCCCAGACTAGCTTGTAAAACCATTCCTCTAACTCCCGTAACTTTTTACAACAAGACACCCCTGGCTAAAACGGAACATCTCTCTTTGGCTTGTTGAAGACACCCCTCTCTAAGCTGTTGGTGTTACAGCCCCTTCTCTTTAACATGGTGAGCCACCCCTCTACATTATTAAAACAAGCAACACCTCTCTTCGAAGCACGAACTAGAAGGCTGGATGTGTGTGTTAAATGAACAATTGCTTTAAATACTTTTTTAAAAGCTCATCATTTTGAAAAAGAAAAGAAAATGTAATTGTAAAATAAAGTTTGATATTTTTCAAACGAAGGCCATTGTTCGAAGCGCTCAAGAATTTCTTGTTTAGTTAATACAAAAAAATTGTTCAGCTGTTGTGTGAAATTAAATACGCGAGGCAGAAAATTTGATAACATATTTCTTCAACACTTCGAACAATGACCGCTTAGAAACCTCTATAAAATGTGTATAGTATAAAATTTAATATTTCTTTTATTTAAAAAAAAAAAAACAATTTGTCATTAAGAAACATCAAATTTAATATTTGTTAGCTAAAATTTATAAATAGGCCTATATTTTAAAATCCAATCCATGTTTTGTTTTCCAGCGTTTATCGCAAACAATTTGTTAGGACCATTCTAATCTAATTTCCAACAAGTCAGGGGGGGAGAACCCCGGGATCAATGGCCCGGGAAGGATAGAAAGCTCCAAAAAAGGGGAAAGTATTATTTGTTCTGGTTGCTTCCCCTTTAAGCAAACTCTATTTCCGTCCGAAATACGGATAAATCCGGATCACTATCGCTGTGTTGGGCCCTTGGTTTCTTGTGTAACAATCTTGTGGCCACATTGAGCGGGTGACAAAGGGACAAAAGTTAATTTTCTTCTAACGAGGAAAACCTACAAGACCCGGACAAACACGGGATGTACCGCAACAGACCCGGGGGTGGGGGGACAGGGGTCGGGATCAATATGCCAGTCATGTGACCGAAGCAATGGTAGTTTCGCTGTGTGGTTGTATGGATTCCTAGTGCTTTGGGAGAGTGGGGGAGGGGGGGGTGGATAGTTGGGGGAGCGTGAGGGTAGATGTTTGGTATAAATTTAATGAAGAAGGACACTAGAGCCGGGGCTGATAAATAAGCTGTTGATTCTGATAATCTTGCTGGACATGTTGATACCATGAGAGGATGGTACCACTAGATGAAATGTTGATACCATGAGAGGATGGTACCACTAGATGAAATGTTGATACCATGAGAGGATGGTACCACTAGATGAAATGTTGATACCATGAGAGGATGGTACCACTAGATGAAATGTTGATACCATGAGAGGATGGTACCACTAGATGAAATGTTGATACCATTTAGATGATATGCTGGTGCCATTTAGATGAAATGTTGATACCATTTAAATGAAATGTTGATACCATTTAAATGAAATGTTGATACCATTTAGATGATATGCTGATGCCATTTAGATGAAATGTTGATACCATTTAGATGAAATGTTGATACCATTTAGATGAAATGTTGATACCATTTAGATGATATGCTGATACCATTTAGATGAAATGTTGATACCATTTAGATGAAATGTTGATACCATTTAGATAAAATGTTGATAGCATCAGAATAAATGTTGATGATATTTGGAAGAGCTAAAGACAAAATCTCATGGAACATCCATTACCCTTAACTCACAAAACTTTAGATAGATTACGTCATTTCTCACCAACAAATATTTGGATATCTTCTAATTAACTAAACAAGTGATTGGCTGCCCAAATTGACAGTCATTAGTTCATACCACTAACCATCTGATTTCCTACCTCTAAATCTATCATTGCCTACATCTGCCCCCACCTTGTCTACATCTGCCCCCCACCTTGCCTAATTCTGACCCCCACCTTGCCTACATCTGCCCCCACCTTGCCTACATCTGCCCCCACCTTGCCTACATCTGCTCCCACCTTGCCTACATCTGCCCCCCAACCTTGCCTACATCTGCCCCCCACCTTGCCTACTTCTGACCCCCACTTTGCCTACTTCTAACCATCACCTTGCCTACTTCTGACCCCCACCATGCCTACATCAACCCACAATCCCCACCTTGCCTACTTCTGACCACCTCCTTGACTACATCTAACCCCCCACCTTGCCTACTTCTGACCCCCACTTTGCCTACTACTGACCCCCACCTGGCCTACATCTGACCCCCATCTTGTCTTAATCTGACCCCACCTTGTCTACATCTGACCCCACCTTGCCTACATCTGACCCCCACCTTGCCTACATCTGACCCCACCTTGCCTATATCTGCCTACCCCCCCCACCTTGTCTACATCTGACCCCACCTTGCCTACATCTGCCTACCCCCCCCCCCACCTTGCCTACATCTGCCTACCCCCCCCCCCACCTTGCCTACATCTGACCCCACCTTGCCTACATCTGACCCCCACCTTGCCTACATCTGACCCCACCTTGCCTACATCTGCCTACCCCCCCACCTTGTCTACATCTGACCCCACCTTGCCTACATCTGCCTACCCCCCCCCACCTTGCCTACATCTGACCCCCCACCTTGTCTTAATCTGACCCCCACCTTGGCTACATCTGACCCCACCCTGCCTACTTCAGACCCCCACCTTGCCTACATTTGACCTTCACCTTGCCTACTCCATCCTCAGACATCTACCTGTTGCTGACCCCCACCTTGCCTACATCTGCCCCCCCACCTTGCCTACTTCTGACCCCCACCTTGCCTACATCTGGCCCCCCACCTTGCCTACATTTGACCTTGACCTTGCCTACTCCATCCTCAGACATCTACCTGTTGCTGACCTTGTGGGCGACCTTGACCTCGGCAATGCTATACAACCGCTACAAGCCCAACTGGTACACCTCCTCCTCAAGACCCGCCACCTCTTCGTCGTCCTCATCTCTACTGCGCATGCGTCATGAACTGGATAACTTAAAGTCAAGGTCAATGTACGGCACAAGGTCAGATGAAATCACGCGCGAAACATGCAGTAGACACTCCATTGCGATACTTTTAAGGGTAAGCACAAGATTTTGACAACTCGTGTGGCGTTACAAGGGGGTGCTGGGCATGGAGGGGTGGTAGCCCTCCCAATATTACACATTTCTAATTTACTCTTTTTGAACTAGTTCAATTTCGTTTTCATTCCTTCTCATTTTAGATAAAAAGTTATGTTCATGGTTATAAACATTTCATGGGTTTTTAATAAAGTCTCTTGACCATCCGAACCAAATCTCTTGACCATCCTACCCAAATCTCTTGACCACCCTAATCAAATCTCTTGACCACCCTACCCAAATCTCTTGACCATCTTAATCAAATCTCTAGACCATCCTAATCAAATCTCTTGACCACCCTACCCAAATCTCTTGACCATCCTAATCAAATCTCTTGACCACCCTACCCAAATCTCTTGACCATCCTAATCAAATCTCTTGACCACCCTAACCAAATCTTAACCATCCTACCTAAATCTCTAGACCATCCTAACCAAATCTCTTGACCATCAAATCTTGACCACCCTAACCAAATCTTGACCATCCTAACCAAATCTCTTGACCATCAAATCTTGACCACCCTAATCAAATCTCTTGACCACCCTAACCAAATCTTAACCATCCTACCCAAATCTCTAGACCATCCTACCCAAATCTCTTGACCACCCTAACCAAATCTTAACCATCCTACCCAAATCTCTAGACTATCCTAATCAAATCTCTTGACCACCCTACCCAAATCTCTTGACCATCCTAATCAAATCTCTTGACCACCCTACCCAAATCTCTTGACCATCCTAATCAAATCTCTAGACCATCCTAATCAAATCTCTTGACCACCCTACCCAAATCTCTTGACCATCCTAATCAAATCTCTTGACCATCCTAATCAAATCTCTAGACCATCCTAATCAAATCTCTTGACCATCCTAATCAAATCTCTTGACCACCCTAATCAAATCTCTAGACCAGGGGTCTCCAAACTTTTCAGTCCGAGGGCCGCATTAGCTATCAAATTTCAGTTCGGGGGCCAGTTTCTTCCAGACATGTCTTTGATTTTTCTGGGGAAAAGTTCCTCAGCCATCAACAACAAACTTTTTTTCCGTGGACAAAAAGATCGCCGCGGGCCGGATGAGAGGACCCCTGCTCTAGACCATCCTAATCAAATCTCTTGACCACCCTACCCAAATCTCTTGACCATCCTAATCAAATCTCTAGACCATCCTAATCAAATCTCTTGACCACCCTACCCAAATCTCTTGACCATCCTAATCAAATCTCTTGACCACCCTACCCAAATCTCTTGACCATCAAATCTTGACCACCCTAACCAAATCTCTTGACCATCAAATCTTGACCACCCTAATCAAATCTCTTGACCACCCTAACCAAATCTTAACCATCCTAACCAAATCTCTTGACCATCCTACCCAAATCTCTTGACCATCCTACTCAAATCTCTTGACCATCCTACTCAAATCTCTTGACCATCAAATCTTGACCAACCTATCCAAATCTTTTGACCATCAAATCTTGACCACCCTAACCAAATCTTGACCACCCTAACTAAATCTTGACCATCCTAATCAAATCTCTTGACCATCCTACATAAATCTCTTGACCACACCTAACCAAATCTTGACCACCCAGCCACCTCTGCGAGTGGACGATGACTGCTGGACGACATTTGTCAAATCTTACGCCTGTAAGGGCGGCTGCACCTCCTACAGTCAAGTGGACCCGAGAAATTCCAGCAACATTTTTCACAGCTGCAAGTAGGTCACGTGATGTGGGGTTTGGGGTTTGAATGGTTTGGGGTTTTGTTGTGTTGGTGGTTGTCAGGTGTGACAGTAAGATGTGACAGTCAGGTATGTAAGTCATGTGTCACAGGTGTGAACATCTTGTGTAACAGTCAAGCATGACCGGCATTTGTGTAAAAAGGTTCTGATCAACTATTTTCTTTTCTCGCTATCACCATCCATATGTAAACTCAGTTCCATTAACCCAGCCCCTCCACCCCTTCAGTCAACACATCTAACCCTACCCCATCCAGTTAACATATCTAAATCTAACCCTACCCCCCCTCCAGTCAACACATCTAACCTTACCCCTCTTCAGTCAACACATCTAACCCTAACCCCCATGAGTCAACACGTCTAACCCTGTCCCCCCCCCCCTCCAGTGAACACATCTAACCCCCCCCCTCTTCAGTCAACACATCTAACCCCCCCCCCCCTCCAGTCAACACATCTAACCCCCCTCCAGTCAACACATCTAACCCCCCCCCCCCTCCAGTCAACACATCTAACCCCCCCCCTCTTCAGTCAACACATCTAACCCCCCCCCCCTCCAGTCAACACATCTAACCCCCCTCCAGTCAACACATCTAACCCCCCCCCCCCTCCAGTCAACACATCTAACCCCCCCCCCTCCAGTCAACACATCTAACCCCCCTCCAGTCAACACATCTAACCCCCCTCCAGTCAACACATCTAACCCCCCCCCTCTTCAGTCAACACATCTAACCCCCCTCCAGTCAACACATCTAACCCCCCCCCTCTTCAGTCAACACATCTAACCCCCCTCCAGTCAACACATCTAACCCCCCCCCTCTTCAGTCAACACATCTAACCCCCCCCCCTCCAGTCAACACATCTAACCCCCCCCCCCTCCAGTCAACACATCTAACCCCCCTCCAGTCAACACATCTAACCCCCTCCCCTCCAGTCAACACATCTAACCCCCCCCCTCTTCAGTCAACACATCTAACCCCCCCCCCTCCAGTCAACACATCTAACCCCCCCCCCTCCAGTCAACACATCTAACCCCCCTCCCCTCCAGTCAACACATCTAACCCCCCTCCAGTCAACACATCTAACCCCCCTCCAGTCAACACATCTAACCCCCCCCCTCCAGTCAACACATCTAACCCCCCCCCCTCCAGTCAACACATCTAACCCCCCTCCCCTCCAGTCAACACATCTAACCCCCCCCCCTCCAGTCAACACATCTAACCCCCCTCCCCTCCGGTCAACACATCTAACCCCCCTCCAGTCAACACATCTAACCCCCCTCCAGTCAACACATCTAACCCCCCCCCCTCCAGTCAACACATCTAACCCCCCTCCAGTCAACACATCTAACCCCCCCCCCCTCCAGTCAACACATCTAACCCCCCCCCCCTCCAGTCAACACATCTAACCCCCCTCCAGTCAACACATCTAACCCCCCCCCTCCAGTCAACACATCTAACCCCCCTCCGGTCAACACATCTAACCCCCCTCCAGTCAACACATCTAACCCCCCTCCAGTCAACACATCTAACCCCCCCCCCCTCCAGTCAACACATCTAACCCCCCCCCCCCCTCCAGTCAACACATCTAACCCCCCCCCTCCAGTCAACACATCTAACCCCCCCCCTCCAGTCAACACATCTAACCCCCCTCCAGTCAACACATCTAACCCCCCTCCAGTCAACACATCTAACCCCCCTCCCCTCCAGTCAACACATCTAACCCCCCCCCTCTTCAGTCAACACATCTAACCCCCCCCCCTCCAGTCAACACATCTAACCCCCCTCCAGTCAACACATCTAACCCCCCCCCTCCAGTCAACACATCTAACCCCCCCCCCTCCAGTCAACACATCTAACCCCCCTCCAGTCAACACATCTAACCCCCCTCCAGTCAACACATCTAACCCCCCTCCAGTCAACACATCTAACCCCCCTCCAGTCAACACATCTAACCCCCCTCCAGTCAACACATCTAACCCCCCTCCCCTCCAGTCAACACATCTAACCCCCCTCCCCTCCAGTCAACACATCTAACCCCCCCCCCCCTCCAGTCAACACATCTAACCCCCCCCCCTCCAGTCAACACATCTAACCCCCCTCCCCTCCAGTCAACACATCTAACCCCCCCCCCCTCCAGTCAACACATCTAACCCCCCCCCCCTCCAGTCAACACATCTAACCCCCCCCCCCTCCAGTCAACACATCTAACCCCCCCCTCTTCAGTCAACACATCTAACCCCCCCCCCTCCAGTCAACACATCTAACCCCCCCCCCCTCCAGTCAACACATCTAACCCCCCCCCCCTCCAGTCAACACATCTAACCCCCCTCCAGTCAACACATCTAACCCCCCTCCAGTCAACACATCTAACCCCCCCCCTCTTCAGTCAACACATCTAACCCCCCCCCCCCTCCAGTCAACACATCTAACCCCCCCCCCTCCAGTCAACACATCTAACCCCCCCCCCCTCCAGTCAACACATCTAACCCCCCTCCAGTCAACACATCTAACCCCCCCCCCCTCCAGTCAACACATCTAACCCCCCTCCCCTCCAGTCAACACATCTAACCCCCCCCCCCCCTCCAGTCAACACATCTAACCCCCCCCCCCCTCCAGTCAACACATCTAACCCCCCCCCCCCTCCAGTCAACACATCTAACCCCCCCCCTCTTCAGTCAACACATCTAACCCCCCCCCCCTCCAGTCAACACATCTAACCCCCCCCCCCCTCCAGTCAACACATCTAACCCCCCCCCCCTCCAGTGAACACATCTAACCCCCCCCCCCTCCAGTCAACACATCTAACCCCCCCCCCCTCCAGTCAACACATCTAACCCCCCTCCAGTCAACACATCTAACCCCCCTCCAGTCAACACATCTAACCCCCCCCCCCCTCCAGTCAACACATCTAACCCCCCCCCCCCTCCAGTCAACACATCTAACCCCCCCCCCCCCCTCCAGTCAACACATCTAACCCCCCCCCCCCCCTCCAGTCAACACATCTAACCCCCCCCCCCCCCCCCTCCAGTCAACACATCTAACCCCCCCCCCTCCAGTCAACACATCTAACCCCCCCCCCCCTCCAGTCAACACATCTAACCCCCCTCCCCTCCAGTCAACACATCTAACCCCCCTCCCCTCCAGTCAAACACATCTAACCCCCCTCCCCTCCAGTCAACACATCTAACCCCCCTCCAGTCAACACATCTAACCCCCCTCCAGTCAACACATCTAACCCCCCCCCTCCAGTCAACACATCTAACCCCCCCCCTCCAGTCAACACATCTAACCCCCCTCCAGTCAACACATCTAACCCCCCTCCAGTCAACACATCTAACCCCCCCCCTCCAGTCAACACATCTAACCCCCCCCCCTCCAGTCAACACATCTAACCCCCCCCCCTCCAGTCAACACATCTAACCCCCCCCCTCCAGTCAACACATCTAACCCCCCTCCAGTCAACACATCTAACCCCCCTCCAGTCAACACATCTAACCCCCCTCCAGTCAACACATCTAACCCCCCCCCCTCCAGTCAACACATCTAACCCCCCCCCCTCCAGTCAACACATCTAACCCCCCTCCAGTCAACACATCTTACCCCCCTCCAGTCAACACATCTAACCCCCCCCCCCCTCCAGTCAACACATCTAACCCCCCCCCCTCCAGTCAACACATCTAACCCCCCCCCCTCCAGTCAACACATCTAACCCCCCCCCCTCCAGTCAACACATCTAACCCCCCTCCAGTCAACACATCTAACCCCCCCCCCTCCAGTCAACACATCTAACCCCCCCCCCTCCAGTCAACACATCTAACCCCCCTCCAGTCAACACATCTAACCCCCCCCCCCCTCCAGTCAACACATCTAACCCCCCCCCCCTCCAGTCAACACATCTAACCCCCCTCCCCCTCCAGTCAACACATCTAACCCCCCTCCAGTCAACACATCTAACCCCCCCCCCCCTCCAGTCAACACATCTAACCCCCCTCCAGTCAACACATCTAACCCCCCCCTCCAGTCAACACATCTAACCCCCCCCCCCTCCAGTCAACACATCTAACCCCCCCCCTCCAGTCAACACATCTAACCCCCCTCCAGTCAACACATCTAACCCCCCTCCAGTCAACACATCTAACCCCCCCCCTCCCCTCCAGTGAACACATCTAACCCCCCCCCCCCTCCAGTCAACACATCTAACCCCCCTCCCCTCCAGTCAACACATCTAACCCCCCTCCCCTCCAGTGAACACATCTAACCCCCCCCCCCTCCAGTCAACACATCTAACCCCCCCCTCCCCTCCAGTGAACACATCTAACCCCCCCCCCTCCAGTGAACACATCTAACCCCCCTCCCCTCCAGTCAACACATCTAACCCCCCCCTCCCCTCCAGTGAACACATCTAACCCCCCCCCCTCCAGTCAACACATCTAACCCCCCCCCCTCTTCAGTCAACACATCTAACCCCCCTCCAGTGAACACATCTAACCCCCCCCTCCCCTCCAGTGAACACATCTAACCCCCCCCCCCCTCCAGTCAACACATCTAACCCCCCTCCCCTCCGGTCAACACATCTAACCCCCCTCCAGTCAACACATCTAACCCCCTCCCCTCCAGTCAACACATCTAACCCCCCTCCAGTCAACACATCTAACCCCCCCCCCTCCAGTCAACACATCTAACCCCCCTCCAGTCAACACATCTAACCCCCCTCCAGTCAACACATCTAACCCCCCTCCAGTCAACACATCTAACCCCCCTCCAGTCAACACATCTAACCCCCCCCCCTCCAGTCAACACATCTAACCCCCCCCCCTCCAGTCAACACATCTAACCCCCCTCCAGTCAACACATCTAACCCCCCCCCCTCCAGTCAACACATCTAACCCCCCCCCCTCCAGTCAACACATCTAACCCCCCTCCCCTCCGGTCAACACATCTAACCCCCCTCCCCTCCGGTCAACACATCTAACCCCCCCCCCTCCAGTCAACACATCTAACCCCCCCCCCTCCAGTCAACACATCTAACCCCCCCCCCTCCAGTCAACACATCTAACCCCCCTCCCCTCCAGTCAACACATCTAACCCCCCCCCCCTCCAGTCAACACATCTAACCCCCCCCCCTCCAGTCAACACATCTAACCCCCCCCCCCCTCCAGTCAACACATCTAACCCCCCTCCAGTCAACACATCTAACCCCCCTCCAGTCAACACATCTAACCCCCCCCCCTCCAGTCAACACATCTAACCTCTAACCCCTAACCTCCGTCCCCAGCTGCTGCCAACCTCTGAGCTACAGTATCTCCATAGCTCTGATACCATGCAAAAACGGACAGCGCATGCGCGTGCCGGTCAAGGACGTCCTGGACTGTTCCTGTCGACCATGCTACACCGACGCACCCCCCAAAGACATCGTCAAGCTGCGGGACCTCCTGACTAAAGCAGCCGTAGACACGCCCCTACCCAGGGGGTGACAAGACCACGCCTAGAAAAATATCATAAAAAACTGCATAAACTTTTCTGCTTACAGACATTTATTCAACAAGCAACATCGTCTTTGTGGTTTCTGATCACTCATCTAATTAACTGGTACAAATTTTTGATCGATCACTTCAAAATGGCGTTGATGTCACCCCTCCGACTGACGCCATCAAGTGTAGATAAAACTGACGTTAAGTCCATGTGTATATTCTATGACCTGTTGATGTTGTCTGTCTACATGATGTTCATGTTGCCTACATCTATAAATGTACTTTCTGCTGTAATTGTGTTTGATTTGAAAAATCGTTGTTCAAGGGAAATAACCAGTAAAATTGTTTTTTTTGCATTGGTTATTTCCCTTTAAACCATTTACCACTTTTTGGATAATACAGTAGTAAAAACTGATAACCCGCCCACGAACTTACTGGGGAAAAAAATTAAAATTTTCACAAATAAGTAACCAAGTATTTTTTTAAATGACATGATTTTACTTAAAGTAAGCAACAAAGTAATATCTCTTTCGAATATCAAGCGGTCTGATTAGTACATCCTGATATTTTAGAGGATCTGATGACTTTCGGTGAAGGCGATATCGTTGAAACTGTCGTTGTAGACACAATCTGTGACAAATACTAATAGCTTTTAGTTGCCAGAATTTGTTCATGTATTTAACGTTTGTCTTTGTTTAAAGGGTAGGTGGGACAGTTCCCCGAGGGAAGATGTTCCCGAGGGTAGGTGGGACAGTTCCCCGAGGGTAGGTGGGACAGTTCCCCGAGGGTAGTTGGGACAGTTTCCCGAGGGTAGATGGGACAGTTTCTCGAGGGTAGTTGGGACAGTTTCCCGAGGGTAGATGGGACAGTTCCCCGAGGGTAGTTGGGACAGTTTCCCGAGGGTAGATGGGACAGTTCCCCGAGGGTAGGTGGGACAGTTTCCCGAGGGTAGGTGGGACAGTTCCCCGAGGGTAGTTGGGACAGTTTCCCGAGGGTAGATGGGACAGTTCCCCGAGGGTAGGTGGGACAGTTTCCCGAGGGTAGGTGGGACAGTTCCCCGAGGGTAGTTGGGACAGTTTCCCGAGGGTAGATGGGACAGTTCCCCGAGGGTAGGTGGGACAGTTCCCCAAACCTAACCCTTCCCCAGAAGTTTTGTTAGAAAAATATAACGTAGCCACGTTTTTATGAAGTTAAAGGTTGGAGTGCCCTCTACCTAGTTTTGGCTTGTGGGTGTTGTTTATGGGTATGGTATGTTATCAAATGACTGTAAACAGTGTGGTATCCAATCACATGACTGTAAAACGGTAGTTTTGTTTTACCAAAGCGTATTAAATTTTTAAATATTTTACTTTAAAATGCTATTTTACTTCGAGTATCAATGCCCGACTTATTCCTCTGATAAAGGGAAATAATACATTCAACTGCAAAGGTATGTTTTATTGGTTGTTTCCCCTTATACTTAATAAACAAATTCAATTATGAGCCATGTTGTTGTTTAATATTGAGGAGAAAATCATATAAAATTATGCTTTATGTGCTTCAAATAAGATATTTCTTTTTGTGCTTTGAATCAATCATTTAATTTTTTTAAGCCATTACATTTTTAAATGCTGGACTTCATAATTAGATTAGACAAGTTGATCTTCATTCACTATACATTTGTATCCATTATCTGGCAGGGTAGTTCAGTCATGAATCCCAAAGGACGAAGGATAACTATTACAAAGATTGGTCTGCCTTGGATTCATTGGATATTGATGTAAATGTACGCCATATTCTGACTTGCAGACTGTGTACGACGGTACAAATGTACAAGTGTTGTGTACCAGAATAATCCTGTATGAACAGACATGTAGAAATACCATGCGTTCAAACTAAGCGAAGTGTTTTGTACGGCTAAAGCTTGGATCGGACGAAGGAGGTAGATTTATGGATAAATAAATGGGAGACAATTTGCCAAGCAGACCACATAGATGTTAAAAACTCGCTGTTTATAAAATATAGGGGAGGTAATATATCTTGTTTATGTAAATAGAATAAATGGGACATGACTTTACTGTTGGCTTCTCTTCAATAAAAGTTTTTAAAATTTATTGTTCTGGGTATAAAAAAAATAGAAGGCTGTAACAGACAGGTTGGATATGTGTCAAAATGTTCAAAACATTTAGCTTGGAACTCTTTGATGGGATGCCAGTAGAGGGGGATCTCTGCTGGGAGAAAGAAACACATTTTATTTGTTTTCAACTGATAAAACCACATTTTATGTGTTTTCAACTGGATTTTTTTTTTTAAATTTGTTTCAAAAGCTACATGAATCTCAATGCAAGTTACATTTTAGCTATGATCATCTAAATGAAATAATTACTGAAAACAAACAATGAAGGAAAGGATCACTTTTTGGTAGTGATGCTGACGCATGTAGGTGGATATTTTTTAATGTTTCAAATGAAAATGTAAGGGGTTTTCTCTAAAATGATGTGTTTCCCATAATTAATTATTTTATAATTCGCGGTTGTTTTGGCATAGAGGTATGCCGGGAAGTTGTGTGGGTGTGTTGTGTGGAGTGGGGGGGGGGGGGGGGTGTAGGAGGGTAGGTGTCCAAGAAACGTTACATAACCTGGATGATCTAAGAAAATATGGTAAACATTACAAGGATTCGCATTGTAGATTAAATACAGGATATCTAAACTGAGAATTAGAAGTTAAACAATATATTTACATGTAAATTTTCTTCAGTTTCTTGTCAGTTAAAGAACGTCACTTGGTTTAATAAAATGTGAACTGACAGGGCCTTGTTTTTTTTTATTGTTCATATTAAACAAATATTGCTTTCATTGGACTGTTTTATAGTTAAACTTTATGTAGGTCTTAGTGGCGTCGGTTTAAAAAAAATCACCAAAATTAAATAATAAATCAATAAAATATAAACTAATCAATCAAATAGATGGTTACAAAATCACCAAAATAGATTACAAAATTAATAACATAAAGAACTCATTCAATTCGACGGTTAAAAATCACGCACATTAAATAGCCAATCAATAAAATATGGTATTAAAAAGCTAATCAAATACAATTATTTTATTAAATCTCAAACGTGTCTAAAAGAGAACTAGTCAAACAGAAGATCTACTTGTGAGTTTCCTGTCATTGAAAACCTTTTAATGAAATGTTCAAGTAGATAATTTGATGAGTGTTTGGGCGGGTCCAGACTTTACCCTGACCACGCCTTTCTGTCAACACTTGATGGCTAAAGACAGGAGATAAAAACCTTAATTGAGATAAGTGACGAGGATACTTAAAAGGTTTTTGTTTCAATTGTTTTTGTTGTAGTGTTGGAAGTTTTAAATGTTTCAGAATCAAATGTTCAAAGTTTCGTAAAAAAAAAAGACAATACTTCAGCGGAGTAAAGTTAAAACTGCATCATGTTCGACATCTGAGATAAAGATAAACGATTCAATTCTCAGTTTTTGCTGATCTTTTAAGTGGCCATGCTTTAGGACTATCTCTGATTGACAGCCATTCTCGAGCCAACGTTTTAGATCTCATTTCAGACCTTTTTTTTTTTACTTTTAAGACCTTTTTCATCCACATCAACTATTCTAACCCCCTCAAACCAACCCTAACACCTCTAACCACACAAACCACCCCTAACCACACTAACCTCCCCTACCAACTCCAACCAGTTTAACCCCCCCCCCCCCGCCTAATCACACTAACCCCCTCTAACAACCCCTAACCACACTAACAACCTCCAATCACCTCCAACCACCCTTACCACCTCGAACCACACCAACCACACCAACCACCTCTAACCACCTCCAACCATCTTGTCCGTTTCCCAATTGAACCTACCACGTCCCTCCCCACGCTCCAGAAGAATATTATTTATGAATTGAACATTGTCGGGGAAATCAATATACAGCACCAGACGACGGCCACAATTTAAAAGTCTGGGTGCTGGGGGCGGGTGGGGGGGGCGTCCAAATACGGGTATAGGGGTGGGGGTTTAAAAGCCAATAGACGGGGGTAGGGCGTCTCTGATGTGGGTATGGGGAAATCAATAGAGGAACCGCTGCTCGAATCGGCTCAATGGGTTTTTAGGCATTTCTTGGGTTATCTAAAGGGTGGGTTGTGTTGTGTGTAGAGTGGGCAGTGGGCAAGTGTGGTGTGTAGAGTTGACAGTGGGCAAGTGTGGTGTGTAGAGTGGACAGTGGGCAAGTGTGGTGTGTAGAGTGGGCAGTGGGCAAGTGTGGTGTGTAGAGTGGGCAGTGGGCAAGTGTGGTGTGTAGAGTGGACAGTGGGCAAGTGTGGTGTGTAGAGTGGACAGTGGGCAAGTGTGGTGTGTAGAGTGGACAGTGGGAAAGTGTGGTGTGTAGAGTGGACAGTGGGCAAGTGTGGTGTGTAGAATGGACAATGGGCAAGTGTTGTGTGAATAGTGGGCAGTGGGCAAGTGTGGTGTGTAGAGTGGGCAGTGGGCAAGTGTGGTGTGTAGAGTGGACAGTGGGCAAGTGTGGTGTGTAGAGTGGACAGTGGGCAAGTGTGGTGTGTAGAGTGGGCAGTGGGCAAGTGTGGTGTGTAGAGTGGACAGTGGGCAAGTGTGGTGTGTAGAGTGGACAGTGGGCAAGTGTGGTGTGTAGAGTGGACAGTGGGCAAGTGTGGTGTGTAGAGTGGACAGTGGGCAAGTGTGGTGTGTAGAGTGGACAGTGGGCAAGAGTGGTGTGTAGAGTGGGCAGTGGGAAACAGTGATGTGTAGAGATGAAAAGGTCAGCAGGTTAAAAAAAAGTGTGGTGATGTCAGTATGATTGAAGAATGTGGTGATGAAGTGGTCAGTACGGTTAAAGAATGTGGTGATGAAGTGGCCAGTAAGGTTGAAGAATGTGGGGATGAAGTGGTCAGTACGGTTGAAGAATGTGGGGATGAAGTGGACAGTACGGTTGAAGAAGTAGATAGAACTGTCTAAGAGAAAAAGATTATTTATTCCAGAGAAAACAAGTAAAAACTGGGCGGAAAGAAAGATAAGGAACGATGCTGAGACCGCGCTGATGAAAGAAGAGAAGCTCTTGATAAGCAGGGAATCTTAGTCTACTGTACGTTGGGGGGGGGGGGTGGCTCTGGTATCATTGGGGAGAGCGTGTGGGGGGGGGGGGGCGTCAATGTGGGGGAGGGGAGACATGAGACGATCTGAACATAAACAGCATGCCAGGAGTTGGGGAAAGTTGAACACGTTAATAATCGTAAAAACACGTCATTGATATTCTTCTGGTTCTAGGCATGGGGCTAGGTCTAAGGTGTTTAAATGTCGAGTGTTAACAGCAGCTCTTCCGTCGTATGTAAGGTCTCTTAACTGATGTGTTAACTTAAGGTATGTTAACTGATGTGTTAACTTAAGGTCTCTTAACTGATGTGTTAACTTTAGGTCTCTTAACTGATGTGTTAACTTAAGGTCTCTTAACTCGTATTAACTTAAGGTCTTTTAACTGATGTGTTAACTTAAGGTATGTTAACTGATGCGTTAACTTAAGGTCTTTTAACTGATGTGTTAACTTAAGGTCTCTTAACTGATGTGTTAACTTAAGGTCTCTTAACTGATGTGTTAACTTAAGGTCTCTTAACTGATGTGCTAACTAAGGTCTCTTAACTGATGTGTTAACTTAAGGTCTCTTAACTGATGTGTTAACTTAAGGTCAGGGGCGGAACTACCATACCGCCAGACCCCGCATTGCGGGGGGGGGGGGCCCAGGACGTTTAGGGGCCCATTTCCGACCAAAAAACAATGAATTTTTTTTCAAAAATTATGTTTTTCATGCATCTTAAAAGTAATTTTGTAAAAAAAAAAAAAAAAAAAAAAAAAAAAAAAAAAAAAAAAAAAAAAAACAGGTCTACTGTAGCAGAGATTGTTGCGTAGAAAAATATTTTAAAATCTCCAAGGGCTATAGTCTGAAAGGTAGGCAAACATTCACACAACTTCCATGACTTACTGCCCTTCTTAAAAATAGGAATGCCCACGAATCTCATTTACATAGTTTTGTACTATGTTTAGTAAAAAGCAATTGATTCTCTGAATTGTTATTTAAATAAGACGTACTAAACAATGGTATAGATATAAAAATTAATGTTTTCAAAATTGATATTATAAAAGCCAAAAATGAAAAAAATAAACATAACGCGAGAAACCATTCACGAATTAAGCTTACGTCTTTATATATTTTTGACCAGTTAAAAGTGAAGGACTACAAAAAAAAAAAAAAAAAAAATTGTCTAGATTGTTCTCTCAGAATGGTTATATTTGCAATGAAGTAGACTAAATTACTCATTTAGAATATAGATTATATATATATATATATATATATATATATATATATATATATTAATATATATATATATATATATATATATATATATATATATGGCCCTAATTTTTTTCTTTGCGGGGGAGCCTTTTTTTTCTAGTTCCGCCACTGCTTAAGGTCTTTTAACTGATGTGCTAACTTAAAGTCTCTATTGACTTATGTTAAAATATGATAGGGCCCACATTAATCTAAAGTCTTTTAACTGACGTATGTAACCTTAAAGTCTTTTAATTTGCACACGCTAACCTAAGATATTTTTAAACGGCGTACATTAGACTAAGGTCTTTTAAGTGACGCAAGTTAACCTTAGGTCATCCCCCATCCACTGTACTAGCAGCATGCACGAGAACGATGACCTATTCCTGAAGATGACCTGTTCCTGAAGATGACCTATTACTGACGATAAGCAAACAAACTTGACACAGTTGAGACAAGACATTCCAGGGGAGTTAATCACACTCTACCTACATGCAGCTCCTGGTGCCTACCTACTGCTATAAATAGCTCCAACACACACACACGCCTTCTGTGATGCCGGATTTATTTTTACCGGTTTTTCTTTCGCAACAAAAAGGGTAACCACACCAAAATAAAGGGGAGTAATTTTCTTATTCTTATTAAAGTGCAGATGTAGCTAGTATATAATATCGTGTAAAGTTTACCCAGGTAATTCACAGGTAGATCAGTAGAGCCCAATGCCATGTGCTCACGATTTGTTTTACTGTTGCCTCACAGAGGTTGTGAACATGCATGTATCATCTTAACCCAGACACCCCCCCCCCCCCCCATCATTGACTCATGTAACAGTGGGCCTTTTAATTTTACCGTAGATTAGAGACATAATATCCTATAGCGTTGTTAGACCTATTGACCAGTTGTCCAAGAGTTTGGTTTTCTAGTTGCCCACATCCTATGGCATAATTAGACCTGTTGAGCAGTTGCCCAACGATAGAGTTCGGTGGACATACAGCGAAGAATCATGTGAACTCTTCTTCACCTGCACCGACCCTAATGCAGTGGCAGTGAATGTAGCACCTGACACACGTAAAGCGGACAGGTACAAGCGCTGTTGGTGGCTTCACCGTGATGGCGATATAGACATGAAGTGAGACTACATGACATGACATAACATGGCGCTACACGATATGACATAACATGGCGCTACATGATATGACATGACATTTCCCGGCAATGTTTGTCACACGGTGTAACAAATCTGTCACAGGCTTATCGCCACCCTAGCCGCACACACGCACACACAGAAACAGACACATACACACATACACACACATAAGCAGACACATACACACACATAACCACAGAGACATACACACACATACACACACAGAAACAGACACAGACACACACAGACACACACACACACATATTTGGTGATTTACTGCCGTGTGTGATAGTGATGTGTCATGTTATCACCTAAACAAACACAAACATTATTTATCGCTCCTCTCAATCAGCAACATTTCAATGGTCTAGGTTGGTCTGTTTGGGTTGGTCTGTTTGGGTTGGTCTGTTTGGGTTGGTCTACTTGGGTTGGTCTACTTGGGTTGGTCTGTTTGGGTTGGTCTACTTGGGTTGGTCTACTTGGGTTGATCTACTTGGGTTGGTCTGTTTGGGTTGGTCTACTTGGGTTGGTCTGTTTGGGTTGGTCTACTTGGGTTGGTCTACTTGGGTTGATCTACTTGGGTTGGTCTACTTGTGTTGGTCTACTTGGGTTGGTCTGTTTGGGTTGGTCTACTTGGGTTGGTCTGTTTGGGTTGGTCTACTTGGGTTGGTCTGTTTGGGTTGGTCTACTTGGGTTGGTCTGTTTGGGTTGGTCTACTTGGGTTTGTCTACTTGGGTTGGTCTGTTTGGGTTGGTCTACTTGGGTTGGTCTGTTTGGGTTGGTCTACTTGGGTTGGTCTGTTTGGGTTGGTCTACTTGGGTTGGTCTACTTGGGTTGATCTACTTGGGTTGGTCTACTTGTGTTGGTCTACTTGGGTTGGTCTGTTTGGGTTGGTCTACTTGGGTTGGTCTGTTTGGGTTGGTCTACTTGGGTTGGTCTGTTTGGGTTGGTCTACTTGGGTTGGTCTGTTTGGGTTGGTCTACTTGGGTTGGTATGCTTGGGTTGGTCTACTTGGGTTGATCTACTTGGGTTGATCTACTTGGGTTGGTCTACTTGGGTTGATCTACTTGGGTTGATCTACTTGGGTTGGTCTGTTTGGGTTGGTCTACTTGTGTTGGTCTACTTGGGTTGGTCTACTTGTGTTGGTCTACTTGGGTTGGTCTACTTGGGTTGGTCTACTTGGGTTTGTTTTAAATGTAACTGTATGTTGTTGTAAGGACTGATGTAATGTATGGTATCTGTTGGCTAGTTACTAGCTCTATAACATTACACTTGGTCTTCTCTATAACATTAGACTTGGTCTGCTCTATTTTGCGACAAATTGTATTCTGTACTATTTATGACCACGACATTTTACCAAACATCAGCCTATATACTTATTACATCAACCAATCAATGGAATCTTTAGGTAATAATGCTTTCAATAGCCAATGACAAAACTCGAATGTCTTAAGTCACCGGAAGTTATTTCCGGAAGTTCTCGACAGCTGTACAAAGAAACTAACGACCCCTTCACCTATGGAAAGGTGTAATTCATCTTACCCTACCCCATCTGGCCCTCTACCAAGTACACATCAGCTTACTAATCCCCTCCCCCCCCCCCCGTCAATGAAACTTAAGCCTACTAATCCCTATCGCCACCACCCCCCGCCTACACATATCTAAAACTGGACTGACCACTCGACCTAGCCTACGTCTAGATTTCCTCTTGTTTCTATCGCGAACTGAGCGAGACTGAATTCATTACAAGACTTCAGTTTATTAAGTTGTTTACAAGTTTAGTGAAGAAAAAAGACAACAAATCAAGTCTTAAGCTAAAGGTGGAAGAGATATACATAGTGTCTTAGCACGTGGGTGGGTCCACTTTTCGTTTAGGCCTACGCTAGTTTTGTGTTCAAACCCATCCTATAGTTTTACTGGCTCGGCCGATTGACAACTCTTTTAGCACAGGTTTTATTTTGGTGTTTGGTGTGAAATATTTCCACCGGTACACCCGCCCCGCTCAGTGTGAGCGAACACATCTTGTAAAAATGTATTAGTACAAGAGCCTGACACCCCTACTTGAAAAATGGAACCGCCCCCAGCAGCAGCCGAGCAGGCAGTTTTTGAAACCCCTCGCGGTGGGCTTAGACTGCTCCTGCACACACTACAGGACTGGGGGTGAGCTACATGTCTGTGTGAAGTAAGCGACTATTCTAGAACTGTGCTCACATTTTAGTTTGGGCAGCTTTTCTTCGCTTCTGTTGGAAATATTTTTACGATTTTTCTTATTTCGTGATTCAAGTTTGAATTTATTTTTAAAATTAAAAAAAAATTAATCATGTTAAATAATTATTTATTTCAATCTTATGTTCGATGAATAGAACGCTTTATATGCTACGGATTACCGCGTGATCCAGGGTTAGGGGGTGGGAGAGAGTCAAGTCAAGCGTGACTATTGCGGTGTGGGTTCGCGTCCGAGTTAATGATTGTGTTGTGGTTCTATAAATAGATGAGGGGATCGCTCCGGCGTTGAGTGGGTTCAGGTGTTAGCTTGATCTCGTGTTTCTACCGGTAGCTCGCGTCTGTCTGTGGTGTAAGCTTCATGTGTTCACCTCTCCGTGTTGGCTAGCGATTCTCCCAGTTTTAAAACCTGTACGTCTAGTCTAGCGTATCGTTTTAAATTATGGTGTATTGATTGTAAATATACCGCTGTTTATATTTATTTTTCTTTCATGATTTCTGTATTAAGTGGATGTTTGAATGGATTGTGATCATTCATGTGGATAAGTAGACGTGTACATAAATATGGATACATACGAGCTGTGCTGTGGATCTCCAACAGTTCGGACTGCACGGCCGTGGGATCGAAACCCAGTTGGACGTAGTCGTGTCACAGACGAGCAGATGAATTTGGATACGACGTTAAAGATGGGGTGTAAAAGACAGAAGGTGGCGCAGTGGATAGCACCGTGGCGGTGTGTGATGTTGGTGTTGGCGGTGTTCGTACCCAGGACCCTAGCCTTTAACGTTGATCTGAAGACGGCGCTGGTTCTAGAGGGGGCGAAAAACAGTTTTTTTGGATACGCAGTGGCACAGCATAAGGACCAGTCCACCAACTGGTAAGTGACGACGTGTTAAGTCATTAGTAATTAGGCCTAATTAATTAACTGATTATGTTACCGGTGTCAAACAAAAGACTTATGAACATACATGTTCGAGTCTTAGTACAAAGTGTCTATTCAGTGCACTGGGAATAGCCTATTAGGGCTATTCACAGTCGACTTAATAATATCATGTAGCCGTATTGTGATATCATAATCATGTTTAGTGTTGAGGGTTCAGTGGCTTGGTTGTATTTGGGTTAGTGGCGACATAAGCTACAAATATTAATATCTAATTGACCACCAACAACATAACACGGCTATTTAAGAAGATGACATGAAAAATTATTGTGGCATTCTTGGACACAGGTATAACTCATACCTTGGCATTATCGGACAAATTTACAACTTATACCTCGAGGTAACAAATTTACAACTTATACCTCGAGGTAACAAAGTTACCCCTCACCATAACATAAACGTCTAAGCTATGGAGGTCTAATGGGGTAGATGAAGTAGATCGCATCTTTAAAGTTGCTTTTGGTCGTTCCCCCCCCCCCCACCCTTTGTTTGTTGTGTAATCGTCAAGATCGTACTTTTGACATAAGACAAACTTGGCACCAAGCATCCACTGGGTGTTGGGGCAGGGAGGTAACCCAGTACTGGTCTAAACACTAGTCCTGTGGTTTACTTTATTGGAAAATGTTGCTTAGGCTAATTAGCAGGAGTTTGTGTATACAACAGCCGTGAATGTAATCTTCTGAAGTTACTCTCGAAACTTGCCCGTCAAGTTTCACATCGAGTTCAGACTAGAGATTATCTCAGTTTTTTAGAAAGGTAGAGTTTTTTTAAAGTGGGTTACGGTTCTTGAATTGGCCCGCGGAGTGCCAACATTAGGTGTGTAGGGGTGAGTTGGGGTGTGTAGGGATGAGTAGGTCTGCACGGGCAAACAGGTTACATAGATCAGCACGGCTGGGGTGGGGGTGTTGAAACACATCAGGGGGGGGGAGTCGTCGCTCTAGAACTACACGTTGTGCTAGATTATATACAGCAGGGGTGTGTGGGGGTGGGGAGAGTGTTGAAAAACACATCAGGGAAGTCGTCGCTCTAGAACTACACGTTGTGCTACATTATATAACAGCCTCCACTTACAATCTAAATGTGATCGGGCGCCTGTGTGTCAACCATCCAACCATCCTCTTACAATGTGTACACATACATTGTACACATACCATGTACACATATAACCCTTCCTTATGTGTGTTGTATTCGTCCGTGTATATCATACTCAACGTAATGGGGATACAATGGGCAGGGGGGGGGGGTCTAAACCAGGATGAGTTATGTACCCCCAGAAATTTTTTTACTTCAACCGGAAATGATAAGGATAATTCTGTATCGGATGTGATACTGACCTAATCTGCCCACACCGGAGGCAGAGGCGTAGCGATGGGGGGGGGGGGGGGGGGGAAAGGGGGGTGGTACATATGTCCCCGGGCGCCGACCTTAGGGGGCGCCAAAATGGGTGCAAATTTAAAGTTTAAGGGGGGGGGGGTTCAAATCGAAAGTTGATAGGTTGCTCCAGAAGGGGGCGCCTAATTGAAAGTTTGTCCCCCGGGCGCCGGGAAGGGTCGCTACGCCTCTGGCCGGAGGCCATACGATGGAGGGCGTGTGTGTTGGTGAGTAACATCTCCACTTGTGTCCATCTTTCAGGGCGGTTTATATCCAACCCTGCACTACGCCCAGATGCATGCTTCCGGCTTTAAAAAGTGTTGAATTTGATGTGTATTGACTTTTTATCTTTTGGGTTCAATGGTTCATAGTTATGTGATTACTCAAAAAACAAAAACACCTAAGTATTTCGTATAATTGATCAACGCACTTAAAAACACTTTATTAAAACACACATTTCTAATTAAAACATACATTTCTAATGCCATTTCTTGATTATAAACCTAATTCGTCGACCTCAGCTTTTATAAATGCTAACTAACATTTCTTTGAGTCTACGTCAAATAAAAGTTTCCATTAGTTAACTCGAATGTTTACTTTAACAGCATTGGAGTAGAGAGTATATTGAACAGCGGGCAGTTAGGGCGTACGCAACTCATTCATTTTCGAGAGTATGTGTCAGTAACTAGGTCAGGTGCTGACGCTATATATAGAACACGTTTTTGGCGTTTCCCTACAGTAGGCGCTATTCAGTTTACAGTTTGGTGAGATGACGTCACAGCATGTTGTTCTGATTGGAGAAATAAGGGAGCTAGATCGCATCCTGATGTTCTAGAAACCGACAGAATACTAAGGTGCCACAAGAATGAGCCGATTGTTTTAGTATACCTGTTAAAAGACAGACCATAAATGACGTCATACGATTTAGACGTGGGTTTTTTTTTTTTTTTTACCTTCGCAAAAATCAGACCATCCTTACACCAAGTGCGTCATTTACGACAACCTGTAATTCAAAAACAGGAACATGACTAACGTTTTGGTTCCTCAACCAGCATTGCCATAATGATTCTATTAAAGTGTGATCTGTCTTTATCTTCCCTGACTTCAATTACGGGTACCCATTACAACTGAGTGGACTCATAGGACGACCTACATCCGTTTTATTAACCCCCCCCCCCAACCTGAATACCACTACCGCTCATCCCCGTCTTTGTGTTTTCCCGCCATGTTGCCGGCCAGCTGACGACAATACGACGGTCCAGCTGTTTCCTCCACACAATACAACAACCCCCCCCCCCCCCCACACACACACACCATTGATTGTGACCCAGGATGAGATCACGTGACTGATCCAGTTGTGAACGTCCCTGCACTCTGTCCACCCCGGCAACGTCACACCTATCTGGTCACGCATGACTGGCTACAACTGGGAGGGTCCTGCCACGGTCGACCTGTCTGGTTTACTCCATTCAGTGCCCCCCCCCCCTGTATGGTGTTTACTAGACACGCCTCGCTGAACAGGAAGAATATTTCCTTTTTATTCGCGTCAAATTCCAATCGCATGAACTCAAGATCGAGTTTCCCCGTGTATAGTGAAGCGCGGGTTTATGATATATTGAACCGGATAAAGTATTAGCACGTGCTTCATGTCATGTTTGCCTGTCGTCCCTACTGGGACATAGGCCGCTGACAAGAGCTTTCCAGACGTCTCTGTCCAGGGCTAGTCTCTCCAACTGTCCCCAGGTGTATCCAATCTTCTTGGTGTCTTCTTCCAGGTCACGTCTCCAGGTCTTTCTTGGTCTGCCTCTCTTCCTCCTGCCTTGTGGATTCCAGGTGAGGGCCTGTCTTGTTATGCTGGATACAGGCTTCCTGAGTGTGTGGCCAATCCATTTCCATTTTCTCTGGAGGATCTCTACTTCCACTGGCAGTTGATTTGTCCTTTGCCATAGAACATCATTTCTGATGGTTTTAGGCCAGCGAATTCGCAGGATCTAGCACGTGCTTAGATTGACAGATATACGGGAAGGTTAATTAGTCGATTGTTTTTTTAATTAATAAAAATCCTAATCTCTAGACATTTAGGCGACTTATCTGCACTTAAGCCAATCGTGACCGGATGTTCCAGGTGAAGTAGATCAAATCAAGTGTTGTCTTCCTCTGAAAGTAATTAAGGAGAATAGCGTCGTTGTTTTATAGCTAAACAGTAGTCTGTTTTACTCGTGTTTTATAGCTAAACAGTAGTCTGTTTTACTCGTGTTTAAGCAGTCATCAGAGGCATAATTTTGAACGTACCACAAATAGTGGTAGCTTTATGAGCACCACAAATAGTGGTAATTTTACCAGTACCACAAATAGTGGTAATTTTACCAGTACCACAGACGGTGGTATTTTGTTAGTACCACGAACTTATCTACCAATTTGACGCCGTTGTATTTCAACTACTATCTACATCACTATCATCTCTTTCTTCCTCACTACTTCTACCTCCACCCATCTTCCAGATCTTTCCATCCTAACCCTGCGACCATTTCAATTCTTCACTCATCTTCCCCTTCCACCCATTTTCACTTCCCATTATCCAATTCCACCATTTATCCACTTCCACCCGCATTATTCACTTCCACCCCCCCCCCCCATTATCCACCCACCCCCCATGATCCACATCCACCCATCCCATCCCTCACCCATTCAAACACACGTGCACCACCCGTCCATCCTACGCATGACGTCATGATGGGCTATTTTCCCCAACAAGATACAGGTGTGTGATAAACTTTAAAATTCCACGAGTAATCTAAGAATGTCGTACGTCTCAAGTAATCTAAGAACATCGTAAGTCAGAGAATTAGATCGTAAGAAGAAATCAGAATTCTTGAAGCTGCTTGTACCTAGCCTGAACGCCAGTCCCAGCACCAACCGCCGCGTCTAGAACTCTCGGGTTCCTCCTGACCTCTTATACAAGCTGTGCTGTTTGAATTGTGGGTGACCTATATTTACTCTCCCAAAATTCATAACGGAAATGAGGTTAAATAGTTTGTGTTGCTGGTGAGTAGGCATGCACGTGCATCGGGCAACTCGCCGTGTCTTCACACTGGCCGCACGATGTGAACTGTGATGGTCATCTGTAATGTCAGTAGTTCCAGTAAATCATGACTTTTGTCAGTAGTTCTAGTAAATTATGACTTTTGTCAGTAGTTCTAGTAAATTATGACTTTAATAATGTCAGAAGTTCCAGTAAATTATGAATTTAATGTCAGAAGTTCTAGTAAATTATGAATTTAATGTCAGAAGTTCTAGTAAATTATGAATTTAATGTCAGCCTATCCTGCACACGTATATATTAAGCCATTTAGAAATACACACATCCTATACAATACTTTATTATATTCTTTGTCGGGCATATATATATATATATATATATATATATATATATATATATATATATATATATATATATATATATATATATATATATATATATATATATATATATATATATAATGTCGCGCCATCAGGGGTCTGAGATGAGGGGGTCAATGGGATCTGATACTAGGGAAGATCGGGGG